TAGTTTTTCACTTTTCTGTGACTTTTTTAAAGGTATGACGCATGACATCACTGGCTTCCCAGTTGACATTACCTCTTTTGTTTAACAAATTGAGGCTGGGCACGGTGGCTCACACCTGTAGTTCCAGCATCTTGGGAGGCCGAAGTGAATGGATTGCTTGGGTCCAGGAGTTCGAGACCAGCCTGGGTAACATGGTGAGACCCTGTCACAGTAAAGAAAAGAAGAGAAGAGAAGAGAGGAGGGGAGGGAAGGGAAGGGAAGGGAAGAAATTGATAAATCATGCTCATTTATTATTATTTTTTAAAGGGGCCAGATCCTTATTTCTTTTGCAATATTTGAAATACAACATAGGCATACATAGATATAGAATAATGAACAGTAAAACCTCATTTATTCAGAAGAAAAGGCTGAGGAAAACCACTTAGTACAAAGCCCGATTTGCAGATATTGCCAATGATGTCAGTTTGTGTATGTTTCGCATAATTTCTATAAATAGGATGGATTAAATTAAACTCTACTAATTTCAAAATCAGAACTTAAATTACGAATTAGGAAGACACAGTTTTCTATCCGATTAAAAGTACATTCTCTTGCAGTATAACGGTAACCTGTACTGAAAAAAACTAGATAAATGATATATTGGGCTTTTAAAGAATGTTTAGTAATTTAAACCTGATTAGTTTTTTATTTTATTTTTTAAATTAATTAATTATTATTGTTATGTTTTTGAGATGGAGTCTCGCTGTGTTACCCAGGTCCCTGATCTAGGATGAATGCAGTGTCTTTGCATACAGATGGTCAGACTGGGGTGGTCAGGGGGTCACTCTTGCTTTTGTGTTTCAAAGGTCCGTGTTCTGGTTTCAGTTGTGATACCCCAAGATTCATACGTTGAAATCCTAATCCTCAATGTCTCAGAATATGACCTTATATGCAGATGTAATTAGTTTAGGTGAGTTCATACTAGTCCAGTATGACTGGTGTCCTTGTAAAAAGGGAAAATTTGGACACAGTCACACATACAGGGAGAATGCTATGTGAAGACTGAAGTTTGGCTGCCACAAGCCACGGGATTCTCAGAAGCGAGGAGAGAGGCCTGTCGCAGGGCCTTTCCCAGTGCCTTCAGGGGGAGCATGGCCCCACCGACACCTTGATTTCAAACCTCTAGCCTCCGGAACTGTGACACTGGAAATGTTTCCTGTTCGAACCATCCAACTTGTGGTACTTTGTTACAGCAGTCCTTGTAAACTAATGTAGCCCAGAACTCACCTTTTGGAGTAAATCTGAGTCCCTTCCGTGGACAATCTAGGCTATATATATATGTATGTGTGTGTGTGTGTGTGCAGTGCATATATGTATACATATACACACACATTTACATCAACATTTATATCTATACGTATGGAGTAACTCTTCCCAAACCAATACCACAGGATTTAGTCTAGCTTTTCCCATCCCACATCCGTGTCACTCTTCTCAGACAGGAAGAACAATAATGCTCAATAGATTTGTTTATTTGCCCAGTTTTCTGTATTTACCTAATCTCCCAACTTCACTGGGCCATTGCTATTTCTGGATGCTCTTCTTGGATGGTCGTCTCATGGGCCCTGACCTCTGCTGGGGCTGCCTTTCCTCAGCACCTCCCCTCTCCTCCAGGTAGAGTTGAACCACTTGCCCGGGTAAGCGCACAGGTGTGGTGGGCTAAATAACAGTCCCCCAATAATTTCTACCTCCTACTCCCCAGAAGTTGTGATTGTGTGACCATACATGGGAAAAAGGACTTTGCAGATGTAAGATAAGGATCTTGAAATGGGGAGATTGCCCTGGGTTGTCTGGGTGGGTCCCAGATCATTGCAAGGGTCTATATAAGAGGGAAGCAGGAGGATAAGAGGCAGTAGCAGGAGATGTGGTAATGGAGGAAGTGGTTGGAGTGATGTGGGGAAGGGGCCAGAAGCCAAGGCATGCGGGCGGGCTCTGATCACTGAAAAGGGAAGGAAACTGATTCTTGCCTGGAGCCTCCAGAAGTAACCAGCCCTGTTGACACCTTGACTTTAGCCCCATGAGACTGATTTAGGACTTTTGATCTCCAGAACTGCGAGATCAGTATGTTTGTGTTGTTTTTAGCTACTTAGTATGTGGTTATTCATGACAGCAGCCACAGGAAACCAGTATACCGGGGATGCCAAGACTCCCTCAAGGAGGTGGACTCCATGTTCTTCAATTTCCCTATGAGTCAGGAGGCTTTAGCGACAGAAATCCAGCTCACTGCAGCTTAAGCAAAAGAAGAGAATTTATTGGCGCACATCACTGCAGAGTCCAGGGAGATCTGGTTTCTCCGCTCACTGCTGGGGCTCAGATGATGGCTATGGCCGGGAATGTGACTCCGTCTCTTGGCTCTGCTGTCTTCCAAATGGGCTTCAGTGTCAGCAGGCTCCCAGATGGCAGCAGGGACAACAGCCCAGGCAGCTCCTGTCTTCCATGACACCACCTGGCAGCCCTGGAGGGTGTGCTATGGCTATGGCCTGAGTGCTTAGAAGAGGTCCCGGTGGGGTCTCAGTGGCTCAGCTGGATCCGTGATTGCCCTTGACCCAAGTACGGCTATTTGATGGGGCCTGGGTTACATGCCCACCCTGCAGCTGTGGTGAGGTGGTGCAATGGGAGCAGCCTCACATCAGCAGGATGGACTGCGGGCCAAAGAAGGGAGGTTCTTTGAAAGAAAGTTGATGTGTTCTTTTCAGTAAAAGAGGAAATGGAGACCAGGTAGCAAAAGCAACAGAAGCCCATGACAGCCACCCCAGGCTCCAAGTTTGGCTTTGTTTTGTTTTGAGTGATGGTCTCACTCTGTCAGCTAGCCTTGAGT